TAAAACATTCTTTCATTTTCAGTGCTAAAGAACAAGAAAAGAAGATTAAAAATAGAATGAAGTATCTAGCCGAATTCAACGAGAAGCAACGTAAGGAGAGAGCTGCGCGTGCGCACGAGAAACAGAACAGAATCAAGCAGAGGGTGCAGGCGGCGGCAGAGCTGGAACTTAGGAGGAAGATCACTATGGTGCGGCAATGGCGGACTAACGAGAGGCAACGGCTGTACAGGCTAAAGCAGGAGCGCGAGGCTAAGGCAAAGCGATTGGAAGACGAGGTGACTTACTATATAAGTAAAGTAGCAGTGACCCAATGACTTAGGTCGCTGTCCTCCTACAATAATATCGTCGATCCGGCGTTGTCTCGACTCAGCCCTGGACTTGGAGTTCTTATAGGATTTTTTTAGACATATAGTCGAATAAATGGTCGAACACGTGATGATAATATAACTTGGATCTCTTATGCTGTGTAATAATAAATTGGAGAACAATAATGCCAATGTTTATTTTAGGCTAATAGAAAATGGGCGGCCCGAATCAATGCGCAAAATTCCAAAATTCAAGAAGAAACTTTACTTCTTAAGATATACACTGAAGATATGAAAGCCGGAGCTATGAGGAGAGCTAAGTAAGATAATTAATGGGCTAATAATATTATTTGTTACGGGTCAAATATTTGTACTCGTTAAAACAGTCTTGTTTGAAATATAGCTATTTCACGTGAATGTTATAAATACTGATGTTATAAATATTTCCGTCTATTGAACACTAAAACCGCGAAATGGAATACTGCTGCTCAAGTGCGAGGATAATGCATTGAGAGATTTGATTACGTGGTTTCAATACAATTATCTGCAATATTCCATGAGTCTTTCAGCCTTGATTTTTAAAATCTAGCTTAGCTCATTTATCACAATGTAAAATTACGCTTCCCTATTTCTTTGCTTTCTTTTAAATGTTTTATTTTATAGTAGGTATGTAACCTGAAATCCTAAGTACTAAACAATCTTTATCATTTTGTAGCCCAAACTAAAAAAAAACTGGCTCGCATTCAAACCATCCTTACTTGCCGTCCCCATTAAAATTTATTATAGACCAGACTGACTTAATGTCTCGAGATATCCGATTCTAAAGAGCCAGGAGTAAAAATGCTAATTTTTGTTTTATTTGAACTAAAAGTGTTTTATACTTATAATTTGCGTCGTCTTATAAAATAATGGGAATTTTTATAATTATGAGTAGTTAGGTAATCATCATCATCAATATAACTTTAAACCTGTTCAATGATTATTCTTAATTTAATAAAATCTCGTTGGGAACATGGAAATAAAACAAAGACAATAAGATTTATAACATTAGTTCTTCAAAGTCAAATAAAGTTGATTTTACTACTCTTAGTTAAACTTGCATTCTAGGAAAGCGGAAGTTTACGCGTACAACACAGACTTGGAGTTGCAACGTATCAGATTAGCTAACTGGAAGCTACTGCACGGTGGAGATGTGAAGGCCGCGAAACTTGTTAAGAAGATGGGCGTAGAGTTTGAAAAGGTTACCACTATATCTGTTTAAAAAAACAATTTACTTGTGCAGCTTTTAGTTAAAAAACCGAACGAACTTTGAACTTTTTTGCTGAAAAGTATTCCAATATTAAAAGAACCATTGATTTCATTCAAAGCACCATGTTCTACATAAAAAAATTACTTTCCATTTCAAGAACTTGCTCGTTTCGAAAAAAGTGAATTTTTCCTTCAGTAAATCATATGTGTTTTTTCTGAGTTAATAGATAGATGCAAATACGACTTGTTTGGTACTATAAGATTTAATTACCCTAATGTTACTTACAGTCAAAGCGCGGAGCTAAGGGAATGAGTCCAGAGTTAGCACAGTCGCTTGCGATAGAAGCGATGACGAATGCGGTGTCCACACAGGGTGATCCTTTCGTCACCTTAGGACAAGCTCGTACTATGATGGATGTCGCCACTGTTCTACCATCACCACCCTTGAAACTACTGGAAGAAGTAAGCCTAACAACTATAAACATTTTCTGTTCAATGTCGTCATATATCTGTACTTGTCCCTATTGATTACGGAGTGGGATAATGTGTTCAATGCTTCCATACATCTCATCCCCTCTATTAGCTGAAAAGAACTAAGTGTCAGCTACACACATTCAGCACTTGGCTACTCGTATAGTGTAATTTATTATGCTTAATTCCAGGTCATAGAATCCGTTGTGATGGAGTTCACACGACAACGGGTGCACGTGATGTTGCGAGGAGTCGAGAATCTAGTCCACACGAAAGCAGCTAATGTATTCTTCTCAAGCATACGTCCGTCTGAGAAGAAACACTTGTGCGTTTATCATTAATTAAAAGAATAACACAATGTTTGATATAATCAGTTAGCACTATAAAATTGATCAAACCACACATAACCAAATCCAACCTTACATTCATTACTACGCTAAATAAGAAATTTAATTAGAAGTAGAGTCACTTTGAATAGAATCCTGAGTATAAATGTCCTGAAGAGTGAGCACCAGAGTACCAGAAAATAATTTCGCGAAATTCTTTTTCCATGAAGCGGGCCAAAGAAGCCACGCTGGGCGGTACAAGTTGCGGCGGAGATGGCGGCCGCACAGATGACCGGCAATCGCCACACCTCCTTGGACTTCGGGAACGTGGAGACCATTCCCAATGACTATGAAGCAGAAGTCGAAATGAAGAGTATTAAAGATCGACCACCGACGCCAGTCGTATGTTTTATCAATTTTATTTGCTGAAAGAAGTTGCAAAAATTCTTTTAAGATTTATTAGTTAGGAAACCTAAGGTGTAAGTAGTACCCGATATACTGTTTATTTTGTTTTCTAGCCATCAAAAACGAAATTAGCAGAAGTGACATTCTTAGATCGATTAGAAGATTTACCGGATCCAGTCTCTGTGCCGAGCTTCTTGCCTGAAAGAAGGAAACTTCTAGAGGTAAGCTAAATATTATCAGAACAAATGATCATCGTAGTCATATATTACCATGTAATCGCTAAGGAATTGGTAAATGATTTAGAACTTTTATAATTACTTGTCAATCATTACAGATGATCAACATTGGAGCCAAGTTACTAACTCGGTCTGTTAGTCAGAAAGTTGTAAAAGGCATGGATGTCACGCTCGGCAAGGTTACATTGCCAAGACTTAGACAAGCCAGTTCGTACCATTTAAGATTGTTATTAATGAAATGTTAGAACAATTGGCCATTATTTGTTGAATGAATCAAGGTCAATAGTCTTGATTTTCGTTCTACACGTTTTCCAACTACTACAAAAAGTTTCATAGAAGGTATTGTTCAAGTTGAGAGTAGAATGATTGCCCTTAGCGAACGAAGATTGTAAGTATAAAAAATAGTGATGAATGCCTGCATCGTCAATCTTATTCTTTCCTTTTACCGAAATCTACATTTCGATGAAAAAAAAATTCATGGATCGCAAATAGTAAGTTTATTATCCATTTTGTATTGTTAACTAGTGGAGTGGGGTGAAGCGGTGGAAGGGATGATGGAGGCAGTTGTGGACAACCGCGTGCATGCCGACGCTGTGGAGGTGCGCCACACCGCCGACTATCTGGCCAGCCGCGTTCTAAGGACGTTGCGTACTGAGATGAAGGAGGAGAAGGTAAGACATCAACTATTACATATGGATGGTCATCAGACCAAACGCAAAAGGATAAAAATCTCTATTACACACTTGTTTTCTGTACTTTGCAAAAGTCAAGAAAAATACACGTATGCTTTAAGAAATAAAAGCGTTTTATCTTTTTTTTACAGAAGAAGATGAGTACTCAATCTGAAGGTGACTTCTACGTTCCCGAGAAAGTGAATCAAAATTGATAGTAAATGAAATTGATCGGTCAAAGTCTTTGAAAGTTCTAGAACTTTAATATAGGTAATTTTAGTTCTTATAACGATGTTATTCGACTAAATTGAAGAAAATTAAATTTTCGATTTAAAAAAGCGATCTTAGATTTAACTTTATGATTTACGTTTTCAAGTTTGAATAATTTATTTGTACAATCAACTTTTATCTTTTTAAGTAATGATTAAAATATACAAAATTAATTTACAATAAATTAGCTTGTTTCTATGTGGTTCGATATAGTGTTTTCACAACCTTTTTAAAATTTAATCTGTAATTTTATCGATGCTTAATTTGATTATCTGTGATTTTAATTGTCCATGCAGCGTGTTTTTTAACTAATTTTGTTTAATAATTTTACGAATTTTTAAATTTTGATTTATAAAATTTTATATCATCCTCATTTGTTGGTTTAAAATAAATGTTATGTTTAATAGTATGTTTTATTATTCATATATTACCTTTATTGTATTATTATACTTAAAAATACAATTAGCATGAGTCTGGCTTCAATATAGAAAATTTTACTGTTTGCTTTATTATTGATGTTTATTATCATTTATATATAAAACCAAGAGAATTAAAATAAAATAAATTATATTTACATTCTTACAGTAATTAAATGACTAATTAATTAAACTACCAAAATAATACTATAAACTATATACTAAAACTAAACCAAACTAAAAATAAAACTAAATAATATAAAAAATCGACCCCAAATTAACCTTTGAATAAGTTATTATGCATATTATTGAGTTATGTAATAATTTCTGAATTTAACATGAATTTAAGAAAAATTTCATCTTCCGGAAGCTACAATATTCCCTTTTGCTCACGTTATGGCCATTATTTTGTAAGTGGTGCTACGTGATTAATGTTCGTTACACCCTTCTTACGGCGGTGAGTGGATTGATTTTTTATTTTTTAACAATCGTTTTCCATGTTAGCAATAATATAATTTTGTATGTAGGAACATCGAGATGAGAGAATGCAAACTCTACCTACTCTACCTCCTTCGATTGGTATAGAAACTACTGCATTAAATTACATTCACAAAATAAAAAATTTATTCATCGTCAAAGAAAATTATCTCGACATCTGTCAATCAAATTTTAAATATGGAAAGGTGAAAAATGTTTTGAACGTCGCAAATTTATTTCCACAAATCCAACCCTGAAAATAATCCAACAAACTCCTAATATCCGGCATGCAGTTGCTTCATGAACAGAAACCGTTGATAAAGAACATCACAAACATGAGCGTCAATCTATCTACAAGAAACCTTTCGACCCATAATATAGAGATCAAAGAGAAGAGGTCTTCGGATTCGTCTTTACGACAGATGAACCCGGTGGCCAGCGGTGACAATGTGGCCACTGAGTTGACCACACAGAAATTGAAAGAAGAGATGCCGCTCCTGGTGCCATGCTGCGAGGGCAAAGAATTACAGGTTAGCTATACGCAGCGTAATGTAATTTTAATTGAGCTTTCGCCTTCATTATCATAGTGCGCAGGAATTTTGTCAAATTGTCTGTTTTGCTGACACTAGCCAGTATTGGTTTCTGATACCAAAACCCTCTTATAAAATTTATCGTCATCCCTTTCATTATCTTAACAGTTTAACAGAGATAACAATATGTTTTATACAAACCTTACGTTAAAAGAACGAAATTCTAAAAATAAATCCAGTTATATGAATGTAACATTAAACAGCTTTGTGTAACAACGAAATATTTTATTGTCGTTAAAAGACACCCGCATTTCTCGCCTCATCAATCAGACAACACTCCAAATTCTTTTCACTTGATTTATCCTGTCGCACACTTTAACATAGTCTAATCAATCTTTTTATGTCGGAAGCAATGAATTATGTATGTACTTCGGTACATAAAGGTTAAAAATAACAAATTTTGCTATGTTAAAAAGATAGACTGATATATAGTTTTTATTTTTTGGTAAATTTTAAGATAAATCAAGACCTGGTGCGAAGCGGACTGTCAGCGATCTCTATGAAACATGAAAGCGTAATGCAATGTTTGAGCATATCCCAAGCATCCGAGAGATCACATTTATTCCCTGGACTTGTTAAGGTAATCATTGTAAAAAAATAGCGAATCCTAACTATGTATAAAGAGTGCCTATTGACATTTTGTAAACTTTATAGTGTTGCATGTAAACTCATGACTATCGAAATTTTTAAAAAGCCATAATATTGCCATCTCTCGAAATAATACGTGCTTGTATATTTTGATAGCTAAAATCTACGGTTAGCATAAAGTTTAACGCCATCTTGCGGCGTTATCGAAATATCTTACAAATCTTAATTTACGTCGTCTCGGATTGATTTTAATTCGGTATTCAAAGTTTCAAGCTATGTCCATAGCATCGTAATTCCTTCCGCTCCCTGCATCGTCCGGATCTGAAGCGGGTGCCTTACCTTCGTCGCCTGAGCCCCGATGAGCTGGAGTTGCTGTTCCGTGGCTATGCTGACCTACCCACACGTGACGCTCTTGTAAAAGGTAGATTATAATAATAAGGTAATTGGGATAATAAAAACATTCTTCAGTTTCGACAAAATACAGGATCGACTGTACTTAAATCTATTTGTACTTTAAACAGACTATGAAGAAGCTTCAAAAACAACATCCACACGAGGTCAGGACTTAAGGACTGGTGACTTAACCAAAAAGACAATACAGGAACGCAGTAAGGACTTCATATTGAAGCTTATTCGAATCCCTAATATAGAGATAGCTTAATTAAAGTCCCTTGAACCAGGAATGTAGGTAGTGATTAAGAAATTAAAATAGAGTGATCCCATCTTTCGCCACATCGTCTTGAATATTACTTATGTTTTTTGGCATTTTGTTGCCAAAGGCTGCATTAATGATATTTGGATGAGTTTCTGATACTACGTATCTTCAAAAGGGAATAACGGATCTCAATAAAACTTGTACAGATGTAGAACATAGTCTGAAAGAACACATAGGCTTATTAATACGAAGTCTTGGGCAAAAGGTCAATTAATAAATCTTCTTCCTGCAGGTGATAGTACACTTAATTCTAAATCAGAGTCGCGACCTACAAAGGAGGATATACCAGTGGGTATGCGACTGCACGGCGCCCGCGCGAGGCTCTACACCTCCGTGCTCGCTGGCACTAAAGCTGGGGATCAACTTAAGTAAATCTTTTATAACATGGAACATTGTAGAGTCACCGAGAGATCGTTAATTTCGTATTTTTTTCAATATGTCAGTTTATATAATATAATAATTTTATTAATTTTAAAATCATCACAAATGCGACAAGTCTAGTTGTCAACTTCACAATGTTATACTATGTAAAAGTCTCGTCAGATTATAATCTGACGACGTACAATGGGATAGGCATAAGAATTTAGTGACTTGACCGTGTGGTAATTTTTTCCAGCAATGCATCACCTTTAGAAGACTACGACACTGCGGTACCTGAAATAGTTCTTCCAGAAGACGAGGTTCAACTCAACGAGGAGTTACAGATAATATTACCACCGCGCTCCGACGACGGCGCGGAATCTGTCATTACCACAGCCACTGACAAAACTCTGTGCTAAATAGCTGCAGGATCGTGACAACGAGATAATAGAAATTTCACAAAGCACTACTCAAACTGAAAATTACCTACCAGACATATTTGTATCCAAAATAAAAATTAAATTGATGTTTGTAAGAAATGCTTTTTTCTTTTATCAACTTTATATTAATACTAGCTGTCGCCCGCGACTCCGTCTGCGTGGAGTTAAAAAAAAAAAGTAGCCTATGTGTTCTTCCAGACTATGTTCTATATGTATGCCAAATTTCATCGAGATCCATTCAGCCGTTCCAGAGATACCTTCAAACAAACCATCCATCCATCCATCAATTATTTTGAGAACCCGCAATAACCACTTGTGAAATTCACCCGCACAGAAGACCAGTGGAAGATTAATTTTGGTCCTCTTGCTTTTCCCATCCTTGTAAGGATGGGATGAGAAGAGTATGTGAATATAGCGGAGGAGAGGACGCAATGGCAAGGGAACATGCTGTGCATCAACTCCGTCGATTTAAGGTCGACCGAACGCTATTTCGGCGAATTTCGGTTACCACCTCGTTTGCCTCCTTATAGTAAAAAAAATGACATTCATTTTGTATTGCCAATATTTAGGTTTATAAAGTTATTTCTGACTGGCATTGTAACACGTTGGTGCAATTAATCAAGTATGGAAATGCGAGTTATGGTTGAAATAAAAAAAAAATCTCTGTTTGTAAATTTTATTATAGATAATTTAATTCGGTTATGCAAGTTTTCAGTGATATTTGTGTGGTAAAGAGGTATGATGCATGGAGTTCTAATAGCTACTGGATATAGTGTAATGTTTGAAGGATAAGAATTCAAAGTATTAGCGCACCGTAAATAAACAGATTTTGTGTCAAATTTATTTGATTACTACTTATCGCCCGCGACTCTGTCGATTCTCAGACCTACTCAATATGCTCACAAAATTTCATGAGAATCGGTCAAGCTGTTTCGGAGGAGTATGGGTACGAAAATTGTGACACGAAAATTTTATATATAAGATGATATGCAACAAACGTTTTAAATATGGAAACGTCAAACATATCAGTTATTTTAACAAATACTTTTTATGGCGCTATACCATGCTCTTTCCAGTATCTTAACCCCTCGGAATTCCCAAATATATTGCGTTTTCTAGAAATGAAGATAAAAAATTTAACATTGTCATCAAGACGTGAAAAGGTTACAAGTCTAGAATCTTTTTGCATGTATTCAATTTAGATAATTAAAAACATTCCACTTTTATTTTGCACTGTACCAAAACATATCGCCATCCTTATTATTTTCTTCGAAAAAGACAGAGACAACTAGTTTTAATTCGAGTGTTTATCACTAGTAGGGAAGAATAACTTGCATACTATAATGTGTTGGGAGTAGCGTAAATTAAAAAAGTAAAGATTTTACAATAATAACTTTGTTTTAATTTTTTTTCATCACCCACAGAATGCGTTACAAATGAAGCTATTATACAATACGCTAAATACGCAGGCGTGCAATATGTTATTGCTTTTTTATTACATTTATAATCGTTACACCTCATATCGACACTTAATTTAATCAATTGATTACTATGCATCAAATTTTAATTTCTACCTTAGGGAACGTACTCATACTACGTGACCCGTTTAGGAGGGGGGGGGAGTCCTTGAAATACTACGGTCAGTCACAGGAGGGGAGTCAGGTTTTAGTGACGTAGTCGTTAGTTGTTATTTTTCATAATACATAATTCAATAGTAATTTAAGTATGCATGCAGTCTTATGCTATAAAGAAGAGTACGAGGAAATTAATTTGTTTTAAATTTTTGCCTGTAAAATGATTAAAAATCATAATTATGAATTACTTCGTACTAAAGGGGGGGGG